CTATTCTCATCATTCATACAAACCTGGCAATTTTTTTCTCCAGGATTTTTTCTGATTTTCAAGGAGTATCTTTGCTAAAATTGTTTTGTTTTTTTTATCTCACTTTAACCCTCTCACTCCGGGTATCCTTTACTGCGCATGACACAAGGTTTTAATGTCTTACATTCAAAATTTTATTAAACTACTTTCTGTTTATGTTGTACCAATTACTATAGCATAAAATCTTAGATAATAATCCATATTTTAATAGTAAATAAGTTTTAAGTTTTTAATTTTATAAGGCAATATTTAAAAAAATGCTGAATTTCCCCTAGTTTGATACACGTGACACATTATCTCTAGGTATCTTCTCATCTCTATTTTACACAAATGAAATTTTAGATTTTTGAGAGGAACAAAAGTATTTTTAATTTTAACATGAAAATCACTTTGTACATGGACTATATACACATTATATCAAAAATTAGTAGTATCAAATCTATAAAGACTCTATACGAGTACAAAAAGGTCACATGGTCAGTCAAATTGACTGAGCCTGTGTGGAGAGAGTTAAACCATTAATGAAAATTAAACAAAACAGAAATTCTAATGCACCATTGGCTATATTTTCAGGCAATAAGCACATATAAATGTTCACACTATATCTGGATCTGAATTATTTCTTTTACATAATATAACCTAGTCCATTTATGATGTAATGTTTGTTGCTTTTGCATGCTTGTCTCTTTTATTACTTAAGAAAGATTTACTTTGTTAGTTAGTGACTTAAAAACATTGTCACGACAAAGCATTATTGTACAGTTCAATTGATAATTTTGGAGGTGAAACAATTATAATTCCATGGCTTTAATAACCATATACATTGGTACAGTAATGTTTTCTAGTAATATTAAAAGCATTAGGGAATGCAGTAGCAATCCCCATGTAAGGATGAGTCCAGTTGAAATTGGCAGCCTGTACACTTTGTATGGTAGTTTCACATTGGCAAAACCCAGCCAAAGGGATAGAAATGAGAAGCTCTCCAGTAATCAAATACAAAACTGCCTCTAAAGTTCAGCTAATCTTTCTTGATATCTAGAAAATATGCCCCCAAAATAATGATTTTCTTCTTCTCCATCAGCTGTAACTCATAAACCACAGTGTGCTTACTTCCAGCCTGCATACCAAAACACTTCACCACTCCCAATGATGCTCCTTTCAAACATAGAGCCCCCAACTGATCCATGAGAGTTTAATTACAGCCCAAAATTTATGCAATAAAACAGTATGTTTAACCCCTTAACTACTGAGGCCATTTTGTCTTATCATGAGGGCAAAATCACATTTGTGAATTGAAAAAATTATTGAGAACTTATCTTTTATTCGATTTCAGATTTTATTTTTGTAAATAGTAGCATATCATTCAATAATTTTTACTAAATTACATTACTTAATGAGGACTTAAAGAAAAATTTAATATAAAAAAAAATCCCCAAATACATCCGAGACTATAAATAAGTGCCCTCTAAGAAAATAAGTTATCAACATTTAAAAAAATTTTTTCCTTGCACATTAGCGCTGCTTCTAAACCTTTTTCTAGTCTGTTTTCTTTATAAAACAGCATCTGGGCATGTTATACCTCAGTCGTAAAACTTCTCAAAACTGAGTAGAGTTTCTTCTTCGATGGTGGCTTCTTCAGGTGGCACGTCTTCAGCAGCATCATTTGTTCTGTTTTCTACTTCGTCCCAAGTGAAATGTCCTGGACCGTGATAACGCCAAAGCCTGTTGGCATGCGCCACTTTTGGTTTACCTCGCCGATCACATTTTACCCGGAAAGTCACATCTGAGAGACGATCCACTATGTCATATGGTTGCCTTTCCATGGAGAAGACAACTTAGGAGACTTCCCTTTGGTCTTCCTGGGATTATACAACCACACCTTGTCTCCT